GAGATCACTCGGGGGGAGGGTAGCGGCTGGACGTGGCCCTGGAGCGTGCTCTGGCTTTGTCGGTAGCCCCAGCCATGGTTGCCGCAGTGGCCCGGGCTCTCTCCTGCTCATCTCTCAAAATCTCTTCGTAACGGGGTGGGAAGTCAGTGGAGACGGTATCTTTGACCTTGGACAAAAAGTCCAGGACTTTCGCCTTGGTGGTTTCAGCTTGGGCTCTTGGGCCCCACAGGAACTCGAAGCGTGGAGGATCACTGCCGGGCACCTGCCGGTACTCCAAGTAATTTTCCTGCACCAAATCTTGGGTGATAAGCTTCCTGGGCTCCCCGAAGATGAAGTGTGTCTTTCCAGCGTAGACGCCCAAAATATTCAGGAGTTCCCAGATCTTCTCCTCAGAGGCGCGGTTGCCATTCAAGAAGATCAACCCCAGCAGAGGCATCAGAATCCCTTTTCTAGGAAATTGCCAGGCACAGCTCACACTCCCATCGCTGGTGTCATCCAGCTTGCAGACAAGGGAATAGGAGTGACTGTTGGGCTTGACTTCCTTCACTTCCAGGCCAAAGAACAGATCCATGCGCTCAGAGGCTTTCTTGAGGATCTCAGGGAAGTGCTCCCTGTACCTTTTGTGGATGACTTTCAGCATGTCTCCCCTTTTAATGGGCTCATTCATTTTGTACTTACACAGCAGGTAGTTCGCCAATGTATCCGCCTTCCTAGTTAGAAGATCTTGGCCTGAGCTCTCACTGGAAGGTGCGGCCTGGGACTTTTTACTCTTCTGAACATGGCTCTTGGCACGTACATCAGATCTCTCGCACGAAACACCTGCAGTGGCACTGGTGGCAGCCGAGACACTTGCAGGTGCCTGGAGACTGCCAGTAACAGAAGAGCTCGAGGCACCATCCCCAGTAACAGGAGGGGAGGAGGCAGTGGCCTCTTCCTCTGCTGTTGCTGCCTGAGCACTCCTAAGACCTTGGGCCTCAGCTCTGTTCTGGCGGCGTTTCTCACGAGCACGGAGCTTACTCTTCTGACCACGAGGCATGGTGGCTGAGGTCCCGGACAGCAGATAGGACTGTGGCCCAGTGGGCAGGTGAGTTCGCACCTGCTGGATAGAGAATGACCTGAGGTGAGCACCTCCGACAGGTAGGCTTCCCCTTGTCTTGACTGAAGGCCAGCTTTGCAGGTTACCTTGAGGGCACTGCTCTGGGAACCCACAAGCTCCTGTGGGTTCCTGGCCATTCTGTCCCCTGACGGTCCTCTAGAACCATAGCACCCGTCGTGGGAGCCTCACCCTGAATCCCACCCAAGGTGCCTAGGGTTTCCTTAGGTGAAGCGGGCACTGGCAGTGGGGCTCCCTGTGTTCTGGCCTCTGCATTCCTCTGACTTCATCATCGGTATTATCCTTTATCCTGTCAACTCTGGGCAGAGCCTGGGCACCCTCCCCTCTGCCACTCTGACCTTGACACCTCAAAGATCCAAGGGACCCAGGAATACAAAATGAAAGTGGGAGCCTCAGTCCACCTCCCAATCAGGAGAAACCCAGTCCTGAGGGCTGAGTGGGGTCCTTTGTGCCCTGACTGCATTCAGATCCTAAGTTGTCCGTCAAGCACTTCACCGTGGGTCCTTGAAGGCGTGGCAGCACTCCCCTTTTGCTGACCCACGGGGCCTGCACGTTCAAACTAAGGACCTCACCTCCGTTAGTCCAGAAATTAAAGGTGAGGGCCATGCTCACCCTGACGGCCCTTCCCTGAGATTTCTTGGGCTGACATCAAAGGGCTGGGATACAGGCTTTGATATCCCCTTTATTCAGGGTGCTTGGTAACCTTCATTCCTCACTCAGACTCCTCAACTTGGGTCCCGGTACGGAACTCCTCATAGTAACAGCCACCCACCCTCATTCCCAATAGAATACAGTGAAGGGGACCTAATCTGACCAAACCTGGTCTGCCAAGAGTGGGACCTGCTGCAAGCAGGTGGTGGCACTATGGCAGGTGGTCCCACACAGGATCCCAACTCAAGGTCGAAACTGGACTCTGATAGGGTCTAAGATTTCATCCTCTGCTGTCCTGGGGCCACGCCCCTCAGACCAAGACCCTCACTTTCCTGACCCCTGAGTGCGAACTGATGGGCACTTCTGCCTCACATCTACGTCCTTGAGGTCAGACAGTGCTGAACATAGGAAAAATTCTCTGTGGCCCCACTGATTAGGTCTAGGATCTCCCCCACAGTCCTCAAGGGTCTCTCCATGAAATGTGGTGGAACAGAAATTTCTCCCTCCTCTGACCTGAGGTTGTCCCCGATGACCTGGTCTCTTGCCTCCATGAGATGCTAGGGGAAGAAGTGAGAGCAGCTCCTCAGGTCAACAGGCCCAGGTCCCCAGGGCTGCAAACACGGCTCGGGCTTTATGTGCTCCTCTACTTTTTGGGAGGATTTCCCCATCCTCGCTCGGCGTCACATCCCGGAATCCTGTTACGATCTGGGTCCCGCTTGTCGCACTGGGCTTCCTCCATGCGACCAGGGCCCTTCTCTCCCTGACACCATCTCCACAGACAATGTGTGGATGCCCAGCCTGCCAGTTCTGCCCAGGGCCTCCGTGCTCACTTTGGGGTTTGTCGGGTACAGCCCACACCGCCGTTAGTCGCAGCTAGAGGGTAATTTAGCCGCTTTTTATCTGTTTCCTTTGCCTGGGGCCTCCCGGAGCTCACGCAGGAGCACTGCTCCGTGCGGCGCCCTTTATGGGTAGAGAGAGGTCCGCTCACAAGCACTCGGGACCCTCATTTCCCACCCAGTTCGGACGGGGATGTCCTCCATCTGTCCAATCGGGGTACTCCCGTAGAGGAAGCCCTTCTCCCTAACACACTCTAGGCCCAATTCAGGCCCCGTGCTGTCCGACAGAGTCCGCTGGGGTCTCTCAGGGCCGGACCTCACGAGAGGGTTTCGGCGGGGGCACCTGTGCTATGGGGAGTGTTGTTCTTCCATTCCCACATGTGGTCCTCACCTTGCCTGCAGATCAGTTCTGCGAATCTATGCTCAGGTAACAGAGGTCTCGTCTGCGTTCCATTGTAAACGTTCTGTTCTCATAAGCGGAAGTCAGTGTGTCCTATCTGGCCACAGATTTTGGGGTCTCTGTGGGCTGACAGTGAGGTGGGGCTCTGTCGGATCCATTGTGCAGTAATCAATGGTCCTATGTATATACTCAAGGTCCTCACTTTGTATCTATTACAGTCTAGCACTCTTCCCACTAGTGAGCAGAGTCTGCCATCCTCCAAATAAAGCCCTAAACTTTTTGACTCCCTGAAGTGCATACCTGGTTAAGCAATACATGGTTACTCATTCTTGGGCCTCTTAAGCCTGACAAGTGGGAGAGATTCTGTGAGGCTTCTATTTTAGGGAGAGTTCTTTTCAGCACTCAGGGTCCTGTCCTTATCTTAACTTCCATAAAGGCCAAGACTCCTCTTTCTGCACAACTGCTGCTTCTTTTAGACCTAGGGGCTTCCCTCCTCAGACCACTCAGGTGTGATTGGTGATAGCTCTTCTGCAGCCTACCAGGGTTGGTGCTCTGTTTGATTCCCTTTGCTGGTGGGAGTCCCATCATAACATTTAGGGTCTTTAACATGACTTTTGTTAAGGCCTAGGTTTTCTGTCTCTGCATATCTGGGGCTGTCTCCATTAGTCCAAGTTCTTCACCTCCATGAGACACTTTGGGGAGATTAAAGGGATTCTGCCACCTCACAACTCTGTCCTGGGCATCTTATGGCCAACAATATCAAGGAAACTTGTGGAGTTACCCTGTCTTGAGGTTAGTAATTCCCTTATTTTTATTTAGAGTCCTCACCTTGACTTCTGTCAAGTCTTGGGACTCCACTCTCTGCTAACCTGAGGCTGCTCCCATCAAATCAATGTACTCACCTTCTGGGTACCTCCAAACTGGAAGTCAGGATGAGCCACATCCATCCAGGACTGTTTCAGATCAGGGTTGATTGCCCGAGCTAGCCTTTATGGAACCCCAGTGTTTTATCTGAGTTTTTCCATCATTCCTCATTCAGGGTCTTCACTTTCATATCTATCCAAGGCTGAGAGTCTTCCTTCTACGGACCCAAGCTTGTCCTTCTTAGGCCAGGGCTCTTAAGTCCCTGAAAGTCCTGAAGAATAAGTGAGGGCATGCTCAGCATGACAGCTCTGTCTGGTGTCCTCTAAGTCTGAAAGCAGGTGAAAGCCTGTTTGTGTGTGATCCCTTATATTCTAGGGTGTTGGTCCCTCTAGCTCTCTAACATTGGGGTCCTCCTCTTGTCCCTGCCTCTTGAATTAAAGGCTTCCTGGGAAATGCCACATCCCTGCAAATTCCTGAACAGTTTCCTTTCTGCAAACCTTGATCCCAGTTCTAGGAGTGATGTGAGATGGGAAAGCTGAAGCACAAGACAGGAGTCCCAGGACAGGTGAAAGACTTGACAGGGGAAAAAATATGCTGATATTTTCCTTCTCTTCACAAGCCAAATTTATATCTCAAGTAGTCTATGCTGATAGATTTATATTCTACAGGGAGGGGGATGCCTGGGATGATTTTGTGAGACCCTGATCTTTTGAGGTTATCTGACATTGCATGTATAGATGATCATACTGTCACAATGTATTAGCTTTCTTTTCTTTATTCATACTTTTCATTTATTTTCATATTCATATTGCTCTGGGAATGCAGTCCAATCCAGTAGTATGAGCATAGATTCTTTCTTTTTATTGCCTGACATAGCTTTTTAAGAAGAAATGGGAGAATTAAATTAAGAAACACAAGTTGGGCCTCAGGCTAGGAGAGCTGGAACAGTTTTGGTTCTAGACTAATTGAGACCAAAGGGCTAGTTTCAGTCCTGTCCCTTAAAAACCATGTGAATTTGGGCACATTACTAAACTTTGTGAGCATCAGGGTCTGCATCTGTTAAGTGGGTATGATAAGCTCTTTCTGGTAGGGCTGGCAGAATGTGGTTATCTGTTAAGTGCCTGACCTATATTGAGACTTCAACATGGCATTTATCACTATGATTAATTTGAACCCCAATGATGCCACTCACCATGCCGGGATTGTTTGTTTTAATCCAGCAGAAGTCAGCAAATATGTACCCGATTAGCAAGGAAAACCAAGTAATATTTCCCTATTATGTGATAAATTTTTCAATATGAGTATAAAGTATAGTTCTCCCACTAAATGCAACACAAAGCTCCTTAAACTTGTGTCAAGAATTGACAACTTCCCTCCCTCTCTGTGGCCCTGACATGTAAACCACTGTTGTTTTCATAAATTTAACCAGCACCAAAATTCTAGGACTTATTTAGAGTTAGTCAAATTACATACATGATAACTTAATTTGAATGCCCTTTTGATGGAATGGGCTCTGACCCTCCAAGCTTAGTGCAAGGAGTACCCAGCGGCTTTTTAACTTCTCACTTCAAGAGAGACACGCTTGTATCTCAGAAACTCCCTGAAGATGGTTTGGATAAAACATCTAATTTGCACACTGTGTTCACCTGCACTGGGACTAGAGCACAGGACACATTGGATCCCTCGCCCAGGAGGAGAGTCTCTCTAGTTTACCCACAATCCCAATATAACTGTTAAGGGCAGATACTCATTTCAGGCTTAGATTCTTGACTATGAAGCCCACTATTTGAGGGTCTGGTTCCTACTCACCATTATCACAGCCTAATCTAGCCCACCATGCAGCTAACTTAGAATTCCCTCCCATCAAGGGACTTGCAGTTTCCCAAGGCCCAACGCTGCCTTGCTTCAGGGCATTTACACTTGAAACTCGAATCTGGAATCCCCCCTCTTCCTCATCTTCCTTTTCTGCCTGTCCTTTATGTCTGAGATAATCTTACCTTCTTTTTATATGATAGCTGCTTCTAACCACTACAATTCTACGGGCGATGGCTTGGTCTTTTATTTTTTCCATCCCAAGTACTAGCATGGAGCCTTCTGAAGAGCAGATATTTCACTAGTATTTTGGGGGATTAAAAAGCCAGTGAATACATAGTCTAAATTATTACAATTTA